TGTTGTGCATAAGGTCACTATGAGTCTGTACCGACTCGATGGCACCTAACAACAACAAGACAAGGAGCTCTGGTAATGTAGTGGTTACGAATCGGGCTGCTAACTTCAAGGTCGGCAGTTCTGTGGGAGAAAGATGAGGCTTTCTGCTCCCGTAAAGATTTACAGCCTCAGAAACCCTGTACAGGGTCACTATGAGTTAGAACTGACTCAACGGCACATAACAACAACAAGAAGACTAGGTTCACCACTCGTCTGTCAGTTTGTTGTACTATCATGCCTTGCATATTGCTGTAATGCTAAAAGCTAAGACAACAGTGTTTTAAATACCAGAGGAACCCTGGTAGTGTAGTGATGAGCTGCTAATCTCAAGGTAAGCAGTTCAAATCTACCAGTTACTTCATGAGAGAAAGATGAGACTTTCTGTTCCCATCAAGATTTACAACCTCGGAAAGCCTATATAGGGTCGCTATGAGTTGGAACCGACTCCATGGCACATAACCACCACCACGAGGGTCACTAATGGTGGACAAGTTTCAACAGAGCTTCCAGGCTAAGACAGACTAGGAGGAAGGAGAGGCAGACCACTTCTGAATGGCTAGCCACTGAAAACCTTATGAAAAGTAGTGAAACACTGTCAGATATAATTCCAGAAGATGAGTCCTTCAGGTTAGAAGTCACTCAGAGTATGACTGGGGAAGATCTTGTTGCCTCTTCAAAGTAGAGTTGACCATAACGACATGAATGGAATTTCAGACCTTGATTAGTGGATGGGGCACAGCACAAAATTTGAAGAAACAACTTCAAATATCCACTAAAAATTGGGACATGGAATGTATGAAGTATGAATCCAGGAAAATTGGAAATTGTCAAAAATGAAATGGAATGCATAAAAATATCCTAGGTATTAGTGAGTAATAAAAGGACTGGTATTAGCCATTTTGAATCAGACAATTATATGATTTACTATGCCAGGAATGTCAAATTGAAGAGGAATGTTATCACATTCATCATCATAAAAAAAAATAAAATTCAAGATCTATTGCTAAATACAATGCTGTCTGTCTGTGATACGATAATATCCATTATCCTACAAGGAAAGCCAGTTAATACCACTAGTATTCAAATTTACACACCAACCACTAAGTCCAGTGATGATGAAATTAAAGAACTAAACCAACCTCTTCAGTCTGAAATTGATCAAACATGCAAAATCAAGATGCACTGAGAATTACTGATGATTAGAATTAGAAAGTCAGGAACACAGAGAAAAGATCAGTAGTTGGAAAATATGACTTTGGTGATCGAAATAATGCTCGAGATCACATGACAAAATTTTGGAAGACCAATGACTTACTCATTGCAAAGAGCTTCTTAAGCAATATAAAAGGAGATTATACTCATGGACTTTACCGGAGGAAATATACAGGAATAAAACTGACTATATCTGTGCAAAGAGATGGCGCAAAAGCTCCATATCATCAGCTAAAACAAGGCCAGGGTAGACTGGACAGACCATCAAGTGCTCATAAGCAAGCACAAGCTGAAGTTGAAGAAAACTAAAACAAGTTTATGAGAGTCAAAATAAGACCTTGAACAGATCACACTTGAATTTAAAGTCCATCTCAAGAAGAGATTTGAAGCATTAGACACTAATGACAGAAGACCAGAAGCGTTGTGGATGACATAAAAAACATCATATAGGAAGAAAGCAAAATGTCATTTAAAAAGACAGAAAAGAAAGAAATGACCAAAATGGATGTCAGAAGAGTCTCTGAAACTAGCTTGAGCATAGAGACACTAAAGCGAATAGAAAAAATGAGGCAGTAAAGAGCTAAATAGAAAATTTCAAATGGCAGCTCAAGAAGACAAAATCAAATATTATAATGAAATATGCAAAGGCCTGGAGTTAGAAAACCAAAAGGGAAGAATAATGCTCAGTATTTCTTAAGCTGAAAGAATTGAATTAAAAAATTCAAACCTCAAGTTACAATATGGAAGGATTCAAATTGATAAGACTAGAAATTTTCAACAAACTGATGCAGCACTGGAAACACTCACTCATCTCTGCCAAGAAATCGGGAAGACAAACACCTGAACAATTGATAGAAAGAGATCCATATTTGTGCCCATTCCAAAGAGAGGTGACCCAATGGAATGCAGAGTCATCGGACAATAATCATTCGTATTGCATGCAAGTAAAATTTTGCTAAAGATAATACTAAAGTGGCTGCAACCATACTTTAACAGAAAACGTCCAGAAGTTCAAGCCGGATTCAGAAGAGGATGTGGAATGAGAGGTATCATTGCTGATGTCAGATGGATCTTGGCTGAAAGCAGAGAATACCAGAAAGATGTTTACCTATGCTTTATTGACTATGCAAAGCCTTTCGATTATGTGGATCATGACAAGCTATGGACAACATTACAGAGAATGAATATTTCGGAACACTTAATTGTGCTCATGAGGAACCTGTACTAAGACCAAGAGGCAGCTGTTCAAACAGAAGAGATCACTGAATGGTTTAAAATCAGGAAAGGTGTGTGCTAGGGCGTATTCTTTCACCATACTTATTCAATCTGTATGCTGTGCAAGTAATCTGAGAAGCTGATTTATATGAAGAAAAACATGTTATATGCAGATGACAAAAACTTGCTTGTTGAAAGCAAAGGGGACTTAAAATACTTACTGATGAAGATCAAAGGCCACAGCCTTCGATATGGGTTGCACGTCAATGTAAAGAAAACAAAAATCCTCACCACTGGACCAATAAATAATATCAAGATAAATGGAGAAAAGATTTCATTTTGCTTGCATCAACCATTAGCACCCATGGAAGTAGCAATCAAGACACCAAACGACATATTTCATTATGAAAATGTGCTGAACAAGACTTCTTTACAGTGTTCAAGAGCAAAGATGTCAGTTTGAGGATTAAGGTGCACCTGATTCAAGCCATGGTATTTTCAATAACCTCATATGCATGTGAAAGTTGGATAGTGAATAAGGAAGACCATAGAAGAATTGATGCTTTTGAGTTATGATGTTAGAGCAAAATATTAGAAGAACTGTGGACTGCCAGAAGAACAAACAAATCATAGAGTTGGAACTGACTCGGCAGCACTCAACAACAATCTTTGAGTTCATAGATGCATGTTTTGTTTCTGTTTGTCTCCTCAATCTCTCTTTAAAATAAAATGAATTACCGCTCTGCATCTTTCCCTTCATTCTTCTAATCCCTTAGTCTTACTCATCCAATGTTTGCAGATTTATGTATCATTCTTCCAGCTAGCTATCTGTCCTTCCTTATTTCTTCCCATTCATTCTTCCTTTCTTCCGAGTCATTCTTTTCAGCCAAAGTGCCTTCCTTGCTACCTATCCTTTCATTTATACTTCCTTCCTTTCTTTTATCTAGCCAGTCAGCCAGCTTCCCTATTCTTCTTCATTTCCAGCCATTCTGTTTTCTTTCCTGTCTATCTTTCTTCTTCTTTCCTCCTTCCCTTCCTTCCCTTGACCCACCCATCTACCTTGTCTTCCTATTCTCGTTTTCCAGTGATAACTTGTTTCCTTCTTAACAAGCATCTGTTCTTCCTTCCAGCTTCCTTCCTTCCTGTTTGTCCATCACTTCCTCCTCCTCTCCACATTCCCTTTCTTCTTTTATGCATCCAGTCAGCTAGTTCCATTCTGTTCAAATCAAGTAATTTCTTCTTCTTTTGCTATCATCCTTCCTGCCATACTTCAACTGGCCTCTTTCTTTCAGGTCCTATTTTGCCCACAAACTATTTGAGAAGTCAGAACTGCAATTTGCAGATCTAAACTACATGAGGGAACTTTCTGGGATTTATTTGCCCCTTGCAACTACCTTTCTTCTACTCTTAAGCCTGGCCCAGTGTCTTCTTGTCCAGGTCAGAAAGATCTAAATTTATATTTAATTTCTAACACTTACTATAACTTTGTACCCAGGCAAATTACTTTGCTTATTATTATATTTTTTAAAAGGGCATTTAGAATAAATCTCATAGGTTTGTTGCTAAGATTAGAAATACAATAAACTGTGGGGGAAAAGTGTGCTCTTTCAGACAATGTTATTTAACACTGGTGATGTACGAAAGTCGTAATTATAGGGGATTTTCCCCCTTCTATTTTTATCTTCTTTTCCCCTCAGCATTTCTACAGTGTACAGAAATTACTTTTGCAACCAGAACAAAAAGAAATTTGTTTCTTAAGGAAAGAATTTGAACATTAAAAATAGAAGTATGTAATATGCCTTGCTGGGGAACATGAACTTGGTTCTTCATACAGCTCCTCAAGGTGGTATAAACTGTATAGCTGGGGCTTGCTGGCTGGCTGGAATTCCCCAAGCTGCCCACCATGACTTCAGGCTACTCAGACAAAAGCCTGAGGCCCAGGGTGGGCTACCCTGAGAGTTACCCGAGTTACCCTCCACTATGGGGAAGGAGCTCTGGTAGTGTAGTGGTTACGAATCAGGCTGTCAACCTCAAGGTCAGCAGTTCGAAACTACCAGTGGTTCCGTGGGAGAAAGATGAGGTGTTCCGCTCCCGTGAAGATTTACAGCCTTGGAAACCCTGTACAGGGTCATTATGGGTTGGAACTGACTCCACAGTACTTAATAACAACACAACAACATGGGAAAGTGTTTCTCTGCTATCCATAAGGTTTTCAGTGACTAAATATTCAGAAATAGTTTGTCACTCTTTCTTCCTAGTCTGTCTTCATCTGGAAGCTCATCTGAAACCTGTCTACCATGGGTGACCCTGCTGGTATTTAAAATATCCGTGGCATAGCTTTCAGAATCACAGCAACTTACAAGTCACCACAGTACGACAAACTGACAGACGAGTGGTGTGCATAAAATCGACTCGATGGCACCTAACAACAGCGTGGGAAAGTGAGAGAGAGAGGGCGAGGGCAGCAGCAAAGCTCTCCATGGAAAGTCTTCTTGTCCCGTTCCGAGCTACAGACTTACTTTCAGAAAGGTACTCCAGGTCCTTGGACTCCATCCAGGGAGACTTGGCATTGGGAGACACTGCCTGCACACGGCCCTTGAACTTGCTGTACAAGTCTTGTTTTTCCAGACACATCAGGGAACACATCAGCTCCTTGGTTCCTGCACATCTTTTCACTTTCCGCCAACGTTTGGGGGTCAGAATGCTGAGGGAGGAGACAAGAGAGCTTTGGCCATGGATTCCATCTCTCAGAGCTACAGGAAGAAACTTAGAGATCATGTGATCACCTCTCCCCCCACTCAGCCCAGATGTCCATCTGTTCATCCCTCCAATCATCCAGGTAGCCATTAGCTGAGACAGAAGAGTCTGGTCACGAGACTAGGCTCTGCAGTCAGACAGGCGTGGATGAGGACCCTGTTTCTTATTAGTCTGGGATCCGAGGCAGACCACACTGACCCTAAGTCCTGTCTTCTCATCTGCAAATATGAGTAATACTGCCTCTGTCATAGGACTGCTGTGGTAGCTGCTATTTCTAGTTCTAGTGACTATTTCCCCATATGTTTATTCATTTAATCATTATGGAGCACCTGCTGTATGCCAAGAAGCCTTGGTGCATAGTGGGTGGGGCTGCTAGCTGCAAGTTCGGTGGTTCTAATCCACTAGCTGCTCCATAAGAGAAAGATGAGGCTATCTACTCCCATAGTAATTTAGAGTTTCCGATCCCAAGGGAGCAGTTCTACTTTGGCCTTTAGTGTCACTATGAGTTAGAACCAGCTCAACAGTGGTGGATTTGTTGTTGTTGTTGCAAACGAGGCACAGTGCTGGGTGCTGTGGAATATCAGAGGGGAAGTGCAGGCTGGTCAGCGATGGCCACATATTGTGTGCTGAGCATTATGCTCTGGGTTGGGGAATTAGCAATGTATGAGACAAAGAGGTCCTACCGTCTGGAATTTACACCCTGGACAACAGTTAGTATGCTAAGTGTTAGTAATCACATCAACAAGAGCAATCTGGGGGCTGGTGAGCACAGTTTCAAGCTGAAAGAATTGAAAAAATAATAATCAATCCTTGACTTTCAATATTGAAGGATTCTATGGGCAAAATATCGAATGATGCAGAAAGCATCAAAAGAAGATGAAAAGAAGACAGAGTCACGGTGCCAAAAAGAAATAATCGATATTCAACCATTTCAAGAGATAGCATATGATCAAGAGTCAATGGTACTGAAGGAAGAAGTGCAGTAGCACTGAAGACATTGACAAAGAACATAGGTCTGGGAATAGATGCAATGCAAACTGAAATCTTTCAACAAACTGATGCAGCACTGGAGGCATTCACTCATCTATGCCAAGAAATCTGGAAGACAGCTACCTGGCCCACTTATTGGAAGAGATACATGTATGTGCCCATTCCAAAGAGAGGTAACCCAATGGGATGTGGAAATCATCGGACAATATCATTAATATTACATGCAACTAAAATTTTGCTAAAGATAAATTAAAAATGACTGTTACGGTATACTGGTACACTGGTAGGAAACTCCCAGAGGTTCAAGCCATATTCAGAAAAGGACATGGAACGAGGAATATCACTGCTGACATCAGATGTATGTTGTCTAAAAGCAGGGATTAGAAAAACATTTTTATTAACTATTAACTTATTAACTTATATAATTTATTAACTATGTGCTTTATTAACTATGCAAAGTCTTTTGACTGTGTGGATCATGACAAGCTATGGCTAATATTACAAAATATGGATATTTCAGGATACTAAATTGTGTTTATGAGGAACCTGTACATAGATCAAGATGCAGTCATTCAAACAGAACAAGGGGCTACTGTATGGTTTAAAATCAGGAAAGGTATGTGCCAGGGTTATATTTTTTCACCATACTTATTCTATCTGTATGCTGAGCAAATAATCCAAGAAACTAGATGATATGAAGAAGAGTCTGTCATCAGAAATGGAGGAAGACTCATTAACAACCTAGGATATGTAGATGACACAGTCTTGCTTGTTGAAAACGAAGACTTAAAATACCTATTGATGAAGATGAAAGACCAATTTTCAGTATGGGTTGCACCTCAGTGTAAATAAAACAAAAATCCTCATCACTGAATCCTTAAATAAGATCATGATAAATGGGAAAAAGATTAAAAATCAACAGACTTCATTTTGTTTGGATCCACTATCAACACTCATGGAAGCAGCAGTCAAGAAATCAAATGATGTATTGCATTAGGCAAATCTGCTGCATAAGACCTTTTTAAAGTGTTGAAGAGCAAAGATGTCAGTTTGAGGACTAAGGTGCACCTGATTCAAATCGTGATATTTTCAGCTGCCTCATATACATGTGAAAGTTGGACACTGAATAAGAAAGACTGTAGAAGAATTGACTCATTTGAGCTAAGGTGTTGGAAAAGAATATTAAAAGTACAGTGGATTGCCAGAAGAACAAACAAATTTGTGTTGGAAGACGTACAGTCAGAATGTTCCTTAGAAGTCAGGATGATGAGACTTTGTCACTCATACTTTGGACATATTATCAATAAATATATCCTGGAGAAGGGCATGCTTGGTAAAGTGGAGGGTCAGCGAAAGAGAGGAAGACTGCCAACGAGATGGATTGGTACAGTGGCAACAGCAATGGATTCAAGAGAAACAATGACTGTGAGGATAGTGGTGACTGGGCAGGGTTTCCTTCTGTTTTGCATGGGGTCATAGGAGTAGGAACTAAATTTATGGCATCTAACAACCACCACAAATGGTACATGTGAAAACTGTTGAGTTGGTGTATGTTTTGCTGTGTTTATTTTCCATAAGAACAGTAAAGTACATAAAATTATATGTCTAAATAATTCCTTCACCTAGCTCTCAGCCCTACCCAAACCCTGTTCGAACTTTGCTTAAGGATACACACCATCCTGGCAGACCTATCACCTGTGCACTGCTCTCTTGATAGCAGTTTCACCTTCAGACCTTTACTTGAGCCTGGTCTAGCTACCCTAGTCTGTGTACCTGCCATAGGCCATCAACCTTGCGATACAGAAGACCACCAATGAAGGCTGTTATGCCAGAGAAGCCACACTGAAACCTTCCCTCCCTCCATGTCCTTATCCCCCCTTCCCACCTGCCCATGGGTCCCCTCTACCTTTTATAAGCCACAAAATATGTCACGTTCTGGGGGTTGCCAGGTCCTGGGAGCCACGTCAGGTACACACTAAAGTTCCTGGAGAACAGCGTCACGTTCTGAGGAGGGGTTAGGAAGGACCTCCCTGTGGGGCAGAGAAGGGTCATGAAGCTTAGAGTCCCTGGCAGGTCTTGGCATGGGTCACTCACAGTTGACCAGTGGCATGATGGACTATCAGATGTTCAACAAGTGAGGAGCCAGGAGTATCCTGGGTGGCTGAAGCAGAGGAGGACGTGGGGTGGACAGGGAACCCTGGAGTGAGGGTTCTAGTCACAGCCTGACCATGACCGCCTGAGTGGCCTCAGGAACCACTGAATGGACTGGCATCACTCCTGGCATGCAGGTGACAGCCCTGAGAATCTCAATCGGCAAGGGCTCCATCCTGTTCTCAGCTGTGTCCCTGAAGCCCACAGTTATGCTTGGCACATAATCAGTGCTCAATAAGTATTCCTTCAGTGAATGAATGAATACTGCAGTAACTTGGAGTATTCTTAAGGCCTCCAAAGGGGTCTCCCTGCTCCTAAGCTTGTCCCCTTGACCCATTCTCCACACAGCAGCAAGGAATAAAATGAAAATGCTTACACTTCTCCAACGGTCTCCATCTCACTCAAGGTGAAAGGCAAAATCCTTACCATCACCTATTCACTACCTTGCTTCTTCCTCTCCAGTTACTCTGGCCTTTTTGTTGTCCCCAGAGCAGCCAGGCACACCTCTACCTCGGGGCCTTTGTACGTGCTGTTCCCTCTGCTTAAAATGCTTCCTGATGGGTATCCACTGGATTTACCCCACGGCTTCTGTTTCATCTCTACTCAGAAGTCCCTGTCCCAGCAACACCTTCCCTGATCTTTAGTTTCTCCTCCTTCCCTTCCAGGCATCCCTCCTCATTGTCAACCCTCTTCTTCAGAAATGTGCGTCTCACCCCCTTCCCTTGCCCTCACAATAAAATCCACACTCCTGATTCAGGCACCTGGCCAGGCCATCTCACTGCCCTCTCTCAGACAGCTTCCTCACAGGTCACTAGGCTTCAGCCAGCTCTCTCCTTGCTGTTCCAAGCCCACTTCAGTCTTTTAGGTGTCTCTGGGTCCAGCTGCCTTTGACTGCCTGGTATCCACGGTCTAATCCAGGGTTTGCACGGATTGAGTCATGGCTGATGAAGGGAAATACGAACAGACCTGAATTTTAAATTGACAGCAGCTCAGTCTGGAAGGACAACCTGCATCTGATCACCACGTTTGACACCACAGGGGACTTTTGGGAGATGTACAGCTGGGACTATACCCTGCTCTAGGATGACAACCAGCCCACGTGGCAAGATAGCAGGAATAAGCAGGGTGGCCGCTGGCTGGTCAGCCTGGCCAAACACCAGCACCACAGCCAGTTGGACCATCTCTGGGTAGAGACACTGCTCTGTCTGACTGGGGAGAGCTTTAAGGAACACAGCAGGAAGGTGTGTAGGACTATCGTTAATATCTGCACCAATTGGGGCCAAGAACTCAACATGGATGTAGGAGGTGGAGAAGCAGGTCTGCGTGCTGCACATCAGGTGTATATACAAAGAACACTAAGGCCTCTAGAGAAAAGCCACAATTGGTTACCAGGCCCTTGCAGACACAGCCATCAAGAGTACTAGGAACTATTGTGTGTGGTGTGACAGAGCCTTGGCGTCACTTCCGTTTCAATGTCACTGTCTGAACCTGTGTGTGTGTGTTCACATAGCTGGAGAAGGGTGGTTTCCACAGCTGCTTCTGGGCAGGACAGGCACAGACCTGGAGCGAATATGAACACTCCCAGCCTGAGGATCCAGCATTGACTGGAGCCCAGAGCAAAGGAGGTAGAGGGAGGGCACTCCTGAGATTCTAGAAGGAGGTCCAGCACTTACTCTAAGGGTCAGATTCCTCCACATCAGGGGAAGGGGCTCATGTCCACCTCCACTCTGAGGATGAGTGGGAGCCACTCCTCTTTGTGATCACACTGCTTGAAAACCTTTAGCGGTTACCTCCTCTCAGATTTATAACCTCAGAGCCCACCACAGATCCTGTACTTCCCCTCAGCCAGCTGTGGGTGGGTCCCTGAAGTGGGGCTTGGGGCCCCTGTTCGGAAGCTAGATAGGCTGAGAGTGGGTTTGAGCCAGGGGGTGGGTTCAGTTTCCATGAGAAAACTGATGGGGTGGAAAGCAGTGGACACTGCATTCACAAGAGCCAGGTCCTCATCTGACCTGAGGTTGAGACACTGTAGGCAGAGTGGTTTCTGTTAAGGGAAAACCCCTGTCTGATTCAATTGCACCGTCATAAAACATTGTCCACGTGTTTGTGTTAACATAAACAAAAATGATAGCCAGAATGAGAAAATTACAGGACAAAGCCCTGGTATGAATGACTTGGAAGCGGTGGAGTGAGCCCTTTCAGGAGCCTGATACAGGGACCATGACACGCGACACACATTCAGAGCCACGAGGTCGGCCACCATCTTTGAGCTGGCACTGCTATTTCTGACGGTTGGTCGAGAGAGTTGGTTGCTATGTAATGTGAAAGTGGTCTTTGTAGTCTAAGAGAGAAACTCAGTTTCTAGCAAGGTGCTGACCTGCAGCTCTTTCTGTTCCAGTTACCACTTCAGTTTACTCAAAAATGTTACAAATTTGGGTCTGTTCTGGTTTCCCTTCATCCGCATGACTGAACAGGGAAGAACCAGTTTCAAGTGATGGTCTATTCTTTTAAAGACCTGGTTCAAATGTCACATTCTCCAAGGGATCTTCCCTGACATCTCTTATTATTGTTATGCGTTGTTGAATCGGTTCCAACCCATAGCAACCCTGTATAGGGTTTCTGAGGAGCAGCTGATGAGCTTGAACTGCTGACCTTGCAGTTCAAACGGCTTTGCAGTCTGGTGTATTATCACACAGTGCAACACTGGTGACATCTCTAGTAGGTTAGCAATTCACATGTACTGTGTCCTAACTATGTACCGGGTATGGTGCTGGTTACTTTACCTGCATTTTCCCATTCAATCTTCCCTTACCTCTAGGAAGTTGTTGCTGTTGTTAGGTGCCATCGAGTCAGTACCGACCCATAGCATCCTTATGCACAGCAGAACAAAACACTGCCCGATCCTGGGCCAACCTCACTACTGTTGCCACGCTTGAGTCCATCCATGCTGCCACTTGGCCAATCCATCTTGTTGGGAGTCTTCCTCTTTTTCTATCACCCTCCCCACCTTACCAAACATGATATCCTTCTCCAGTGACTGGCCCCTCCTGACAATATGTCCAAAGTATGAGAGACGGAGTTTGGCCGTCTTGGCTTCTAAAGAGCACTCTGGCTGTACTTCTTCCAAAACGGATCTATTGGTTCTTTTGGCAGCCCATGGCCCTTTCAGTAATCTCCTCCAACACCATAACTCAAACATTTACTGTTGAAGATCAGAGAGCACAGCCTTCAGTATGGATTACATGTCAATGTAAAGAAAGCAAAAATCCTCACCACTGGACCAATAAACAACATTCTTACCAATGGAGAAAAGATTGAACTTGTCAAGAACTTCATTCTTCTTGGATCAACTATCAACACTCACAGAAGCAGCAGTCAAGAGATCAAACAACATATTGCATTAGGCAAATCTGCTGCACAGGACCTTTTTAAAGTGTTGAAGAGCAAAGATGTCAGCTTGAGGGCCTCTAGAAAGTAGATATTAATTAATCCTGTTATAGAGGAATTCTGGTAGCGTAGTGGTTACGAATCGGGCTGCAAGCCGCAAGGTTAACAGTTCGAAACTACCAGCTGTTCCGTGGGAGAAAGATTTGGCGTTCTGCTCCTGTAAAGATTTACAGCCTCGGAAACCCTGTGCAGGGTCGCTATGAGTTGGAACTGACTCCACCCACGGCATATAACAACAACAACAGAGGAGGTAATTAAGGCCCTTTAGTAAGTTATAGAAGCAAATCCAGGCCTTTCCAACTGCCCAATGTGAGCTCTAGACCCAACTCCCTCCTCTAGGTCTTCATAGGGCCTCTTCAGCTTCATTCTCCTAAGAAACTCTACTGACCACTGTGTGGGGTACTGGGCGAGGTACTGGGGTTTCCAAGCAACATACAACTTGATCCCTGCTCTTCAGTAGCTCACAGTCTCATGGAGAATTCAGTGCTCTGAAGTGTCACCTGGGCTATGAAGGGAATCCATACAGGTTGCAGAATGGCATCAGGGAGGGGGTCCAGTTTTACTGAGGGGCTCTCAGGTTCGACTATCCACTCTTGACCTTTTGAATCCAAAAGGTGGCCTCTACTTCCACTTTGTCCTGTAGTTGGAACTGGATCACCTGGATGTTGCTGTTGTCACAGCCACCTGGCTTCTGGGCTTCTTAGCATATGACCAGCAGGAGGCCAAAGTCTGCTCATTGTTGTTGGTAAATGCCATGAGTTGGCTCCGAATCATAGTGACCCTGTATAGGGTTTCTGAGGAGCGGCTGGTGAGTTTGAATCACCAACTCTCTAGTTCAAACTGACCTTATCTCTAGTCCAAACTGACCTTATAGTTGAGTGCTTACCCTACAGTGCCACCCCAGTGCAAGCCATTTATCTATGTGAACAGGACAAGCCCCAAGTTTGCACTTAGTCACACAGTGGGAAGAGCAGCTAGAGTAGCCAGCCATCCTTTGTTGAGATTTCACAGGGTGTCAGGCGCTGGTTTGACACTTTATACACAAAACCTCATTCTACCCTCAGGACAAAGCACTCTCTGGGGTTGGTGTCATCTCTACTCCACAGAGAAGGCAGAAGGCTCAGAAAAAGAGAGAGACGGAATAATTGGTCTGAGGCTACACAGGTAGTTTGTGGGGAAGCCAGGATTTGGCTCTGAATCTGGCTGTACTTTGACCTTATCCATGACTAAAAATATTCCTCAGGTTGAAGTACAGTCAGAAGCAAATAGGAACACTACTGAGTGTGACAATGAAATAGGGTGTCAAAGTCTGGAAACACACTAACATCTGTAGCGTGTAAGCGGTTAGGTGATCACGGCGGATAGCCAGCTGTGCTCCAGCTGCCTGTCCTCGAGGCCAAAGCTGGCCATGGTCACTCAAATCTCAGTCTTCTTGATACTGTGCTTCTCACCTTTCCCTTCCATCCTTGGCACCGTCCTGCTCCCTCTGCCCCCATAATTGCTCTGAACCTCCGTTTCCCCATCCAAAAGGGGCAGGGAACAATATCTACCTCATAGGGTTGTTGTTGTTGTTGTTGCTAAGTGCCGTCGAGTCGGTTCCGACCCATAGCGACCCTGTACAGGGTTTCCGAGGCTGTAAATCTTTACGGGAGCAGAACGCCTCATCTTTCTCCCGCGGAGCAGCTGGTAGTTTCGAACTGCTGGCCTTAAGGTTCGCAGCCCGATTCGTAACCACTACGCTACCAGAGCTCCTTCATAGGGTTGTTATGAACCTTAAAATAATACTGTAGCTCCCAGAACACAGAAAGTGCTGAATAAATTGTGATTTTTGTATTATTATTAGATTATGCCCCCACAGTCCTTCCAGCTTTTACATGGTGTGTCTAAGGCCAGGAAAAAGGTACCCTGATATCTCAGTGGCTAAGAACTTGACTAAGGAGCTCTGATAGCATAATGGTTATGAATCGGGCTGCTAATCTCATGGTCAGCAGTTCAAAACTACCAGCTGTTCCGCAGGAGAAAGATGAGGCTTTCTGCTCCTGTAAAGATTGACAGCCTCGGAAACCCTGTACAGGGTTGCTATGGGTAGGAACTGACTCCACGGCGCATAGCAACAAGAACTTAACCTCAAAGGGAGAAAGATGGAGTAGGCTCCTTCCGTAAATATCACAGCCTGTGTACCATTGAGTCGGTTCCGACCCATGGCAACACTGTATAGGGTTTCTGATAGCAGTTGGCAGATTTGAGATGCTGCCATTACGGTTAACAGTCCAGTGCTTATCCTAGAGAGGCAATTCTACTCTGTTCTCTTGTTGTACACTGTGAAGTCTGTTCTGGGTTTCTGAGGCTTACAGGAGCAGAAAGCCTCTTCTTCCTCCTGAGGAACCGCTGGTAGTTTTGAACTGCTGGCCATGAGATTAGCAGCCCAATTCAAAACCACTACACTACCAGAGCTCCTTAGTCAAGTTCTTAGCCACCAGACCCTCCGGGGGAGAAATCTGTGGCAGCAGTCTGCTCAGGAAACATTTGTTGTTGTTAGGTGCCATCAAGTCAGTACCGGCCCATAGCAACCTTATGCACAGCAGAATGAAACACTGCCTGATTCTGGGCCAACCTCACTACTGTTGCCATGCTTGAGTCCCTCGATTCTGCCACTTGGCCAATCCATCTTGTTGGGGGTCTTCCTCTTTTTCTCTGTCCCTCTACCTTACCAAACATGTTATCCTTCTCCAGTGACTGGTCCCTCCTGACAATATGTCTGAAGTATGAGAGGCGAAGCTTGGCCACCTTGGCCTCTAAGGAGTACTCTGGCTGTACTTCTTCCAAAATGGATCTATTCGTTCTTTTGGCAGCCCATGGCACTTTCAATATTCTCTTCCAACACCATAATTTAAAAGCATCAATTCTTCTACGGTCTTCCTTATTCATTGTCCAGCTTTCGCATGCATATGAGGTTATTGAAAACATTGTGGCTTGGGTCAGCTGCACCTTAGTCCTCAAGCTGACATCTTTGCTCTTCAACGCTTTAAAAAAGTCTTCTGCACCAGATTTGCCTAATGCAATACGT